CGGCCCCAAGAACTTCTCCCGCGCCTGCTGGGTCCTGGAGGCCAGCGGGGTCCAGGCAGGGGGCCCCGTTGTGCCTGCGGGCTCCGAGCCGGGGCTGGGCCTGAGCTTGGGCGGGACAGCAACCTCTCGGGGTGCTGGTGGCGTGACCGGGCGCGGGTCCGGAGTGCCGGGGGACAGGGCAGGGCGGGAGGCCACCGCCGCCGTGCCCCAGCCGGCCGGGGAGCTGTTGGTTACGCGGACGCTGGCGCTGGTGGTGGCCATGGGACTCCACACGTGGACGCGGGACGAGGTGGTAGTTGGAGGCCCAGAGGAAGAGCCCACCGCCGCCAGCCCGTTTGCCTCCTGGGCCTTCCTCGGGGTGCTGAGGGACCCCGAGCCCAAGGGGGCGGCCCCCTGCTGTCTGGGGGCCACACCCCGCAGCGGGGAACCAGAAGAGCTGGCTCCGGGGTGGTGGCCCGCGGAGGTGGGCACGCCCGGCTCTCCGGTGCTGGGGCGTGGCGGCTTGGACCTGCGGGGAGAACGCTGGGCTGGCGGCCACTCGTCCACTCGTCCACTCACTCACCCCTGCCGGGGCACGAGCCCACGGACGCCCGGGTCTACCCTGGGCCGGCGACTCATCCCACACACGCCTCCTCTCGGGGGTCTTTGCCCAGAAAGCGCCCACGCGTGTCGGCAAACGGGCACATGCGCCCGCACGTCGGACGCGCGCCCACTCCCTCACAGTCACCCCAAGCCCCGCCCCCGCAGGGCTGCCGCTGCTCGCCCGCAGGAGCCCCCCCCCCAGCGGGAGGCGCGGTGGGCGGGGGCTGCCGAGGCAGGGCGGGCCTACCTGAAGCAGCTGCGGTGGTACAGCTTCCCGTCGGCCAGGTGCCGCTGCACCAGGTGCACGTGCAGGCCGCAGATGGCACAGAGGCTGCTGACCAGGCCGCCCACCGACGCCGGGCCCTGCGGGCGCCAGGAGCCGCTGAAGCCGCCCACATCCCCGGCGCCCCGGCGGCCAGCGCCCGGCCTCCTGACAGCCCGGAGCCCGCACGCCGACTCCAAGGCCGGGGTCGCCAGCCTGGCCCTGGAGCGGGAGCGTGGGCCCCACTACAGTGGACCGCAGGGCACCTCGCTCCGCTCCCCGAGGGCCGAAGTAGCAGCCCAGGGCCAGCAGGGGGCGCACACTCACAAGTTATCACCGGGTCTCCGCGGGTGCCCCAGCTCCCGCAACCGGCCAGCACTGCCCACCGCACCTCGGCTGGAGCCCGGGGCGGGTCCACACCCTGTCCCACCCGCAGGGTCAGCCTGGGCCTCGGTCCACCCGTCATCCCCACCTGGACGTTAGCCCTGGGCAGGCTCTTGGCCACAGGCAGCGGGGGCCTTGCCCTGACCCCGGGGAACCCCCCAGGGGCCCCGGGGCACTCACAGCCTTTGGGGGTGGGCCCTCAGCAGCCCCATCCTTCCTGGGTTCTCTGGGGCCTGCCGGGGTGGGGGCGGGGGCCGGCTGGGGCGGCGCCTTCTTCTCCGTGGGCTCCTCAGCCGAGTTCCCCGGGGGCCGCTTCACACCAGCGATGCCCCCAACTGGAAACGGGGGTCGGGGGTCGGCAGCCTGCACCCGGCTCCCGCAGGGGTCCCCGTGTGGTGTGGGGAGGGCAGGGAGGACGCCCTGGTCTGGGCGGGGCGGGGCAGGCGGGGCTGCCCTGCGCCCACACCGGTTCTGGGGATTTCTGGGGCAGCGGAGGAAAGTGGGGTGGGGGCCACCGGGGCCTGCCCTCCCCTGCCCAGCACGGCCGGGCCCACTGGGTCCGAGTCCTGGCACCCTTGCCCTGAGGGTGGGAGTGGGCTGAGGGGGGACCAGGCCCTGACAGGGCCCCGGGACCCCTCCCCCCGCTTCACGTGTCAGCCGTGCTGGGCACCAGAGGGCCAGGGGCCAGCAGCAGGGGCGGGGCTGCGGGCCCCAGTGGCTCGGTGGGGGCGGGGCCCCAGGGCGGGGGCGGCACTCACTGGGGAGCGGCCGTGGAAGTAGTTGTAGTACTGGGAGACGTAGGTCAGGATACTCAGGCGGTCCGGAACCTTCAGGGCCACCATGTCCTCGGCGTCCAGCAAGGCGGGGATGCCCAGCTTCTCCTCCGCCACGCTGAAGGCCTGGGGGCGGGCAGAGTCCGGGGTCCAGGCTGCAGCCCCCCTCCTCGGGCAGGCACCAGCTCACCGGGGAGGGGTCCCGAGACCAGAGACAGCCCAGACAGGGGCGGCTCAAGGTCCGTCCTCGGCTTGCCCATCTGCAGTGGACGCGCAGTCCTGCCGGGCCTGGGCGGGTTCTTGGGGCCACAGCCCTGGCCCTGGGGTCCTGCCCCACCCGGGCCCTGAGCAGGGTGGACACCTGGCGGGCGACTCAGCCCTCCCTGGGGGCAAGCGGGGACACGGAGGTGGCTGGGCCCCGGGAGCCCAAGCCAGGGGCGGGGGACATCTGATACTGAGCCTGGAGGCGGCACTCACAGAGCCCCTGCTGCACGCAGGCACGAGGCCCCTCCCAGCCGCCACCCCCCGGCTCCCTCCAGCGCAGCTCCCAGGGGCTCCCTGTCCCTGCCCCCACCTCTGAGGTCCCCACTGTCCCTGACTGGGCTGCTCACGGGGACCCGGGTCACAGAGGCCGCCACAGCCCTGCTCTCAGTGCAAGGCCAGGGCGGGGGTCCCCTCCCCCCCACCTCTGCTCAAAGCCCCGCCTTGCAGCCTCCCCCCCCCCGGGGACTCCCACTCATCTGCCCCCTCGGGGGGGGCCCTGCCTGTGGTCACTGCGGTTCTGTCCCCCTCCCAGCCACCCTCCATCACCCGAGAGTCCGGAAAATTCCCCCACATAAAAGGTCATGGCCTGGCCGCCTCTGCTGGCCACAGCCCATCTCTCGTCCCTCTTAAAGCAAAACTCCCAGAACAGAACACTCGCTGCCCCGGCCGGGCAGGCTCCCCAGAGCCACTGCCCTCGCCCCACACTGACCCTAAACACGGGCCCCCACAGGCCCGCCCCACCTCATCCCTCGGGGCCCCCAGGACTGGCCCTCCCACGGCCACACAGGGAGCGGCCCCAGCCGGTCCTGGCCAGCTGCAGCCCAGCCCCAGAACCATGCAGTGTCCACTCCCCTATGCTGGCCGCGGCACCCCACGTGCCCCTCAGCGCCCCTAACTCGAGCTCCAATTCTAACCGGCCGGGAAGGTCTGACCCCCAGGGACGCCAGGCCTGGAGCAGGGGCGTGGACGGGCGAGCCTTTCAGGTTATTCTGCGGTGGGGCAGGATTCGGACCCAGCGCCCACCTGGGCCCCCACCTCCCACAGCCTTGCTCAGCCTTGGGCAGAGTGGGCTGAGCCCCTGCAGGCCATGGCGGGGGCAGCACCTCCTGCCCCTCATTCCCCCACCAAGGACAGAGGGGGCCTGGGCGGCAAGACCGGAGGTCACTTCCAGGACGTGGAGGTTACCCAGCTGGGAACCCCCGGGACAGAGACTGGGAGTGGGGCACAGGTGCCGGGCGGGGTGGGGGCGGAGCAGGTGGGCTGGGGTGGGGGCGGACGGGGGCAGTGGGCTGGGGGCAGAGGGCTGGAGTGGGGGCCGGGCAGGGGCAGAGGGCTCGGGTGGGGGCGGACAGGGGGCAGTGGGCTGGGGTGGGGGCGGACAGGGGGCAGTGGGCTGGGGGCAGAGGGCTGGGGTGGGGGCCAGGCAGGGGCAGAGGGCTGGGGCGGGGGCAGAGGGCTGGGGTGGGGCCAGGCAGGGGCAGTGGGCTGGGGTGGGGGCGGACAGGAGGCAGTGGGCTGGGGTGGGGCAGGCAGGGGGGGCAGTGGGCTGGGGTGGGGCAGGCGGGGGGGCAGTGAGCGGGGGGGGGCAGTGGGCTGGGGGGGCAGACAGGGGGCAGTGGGCTGGGGTGGGGCAGGGGGCTCACCAGTTTGTTGTTCTCATAAACGTTTTCCTTCTTGAGAGTGCTGAAGTCTCTGGAAGATACAGCGCTCACGTCCACAGCCGCCCGGGGCCCGAGCAGGGGGGCAGGCGAGGGGGCAGGGGCCAGGAGGGGCCCCAGGCCCTGCCCAGCACCCCGGGGCCACCAGACGCCCAAGCAGGGGTCAGGCGAGGGGGCAGGGGCCAGGAGGGGCCCCAGGCCCTGCCCAGCACCCCGGGGCCACCAGACGCCCAAGCAGGGGTCAGGTGAGGGTGCAGGGGCCAGGAGGGGCACCAGGCCCTGCCCAGCACCCAGGCAGAGGTGACAGAAAGCAGGCGGGGGCGGGGGGCAAAACGGCCAGCCCAGGGTGGCCAGGACCACCCGGGGCGGGATGGAACACCCAGCTCGGGCCGCCTGTCACTGCCCGCCCCTCGGCTCCCTCACGCTCCTGCCCTCCTGGGGAGTGGGCACGGCCACGTCCTTGCTCAGGGAGGCACATGCGTAGCAGAGAGGCCGCTGCGGGCCACGGCGCTGGGGTCCAGACGCCAGGGACAGACCCTCAGGGCCTCAGAGGGTCCCAGGAGGCTTGCCCGAGCCGAGGCTCCAGGCGACTGGACAGCAGGGCCAGCCCAGGGCACAGCCCCCACCCCCCAGCACTGGTCCCCGTGCACCCCCCCATATACACGCTCCAACACAGCCCGGATGCCCACATCCCTGGTCCGGCCCTGGCTCCCCTCGGATCCGGCTTCCTGCTGGTGCGCGGGGGGGGGGGGGGGCAGCAGTGACCCGTGGGAGACCCGGATGGAGCTCCAGGCTCCCGGGTCAGCCTGGCCCGGCCCTGGCAGTTGGGGCCTCTGGGGAGTGGGTGCAAGATGTCTCTCCCTCCCTCTCAAGTTTCCCGCCTGAGGGCACGCCCGTGGCCTGTGGGAGGACCAGGGAGCCGGCCACACTGGGCGATACCAGCCCTGCAGGCGCCCGGGTTTGAGCCCCATTTACAGAAGGGCAGACCGTTCAGGCGGGCGGCTCCCCGACATGGAGACCACCGGGCACACGGGCCTTCTGTGCAGGGAGGGGGATGCCCGCTGGCAGCCCCCGCCCCGGGCTCAGAGCGCAGGAGGAGGGGACCAGGCACCAGGGCCACCACGGCTGCCCAGGGCTGGACCAGCAGAGACCCCCCCCCCTCACCGGACTCGCTCTCTCGGCACGGCCGAAGCGGTGACTCACAGGGTCTGAGACTCCTCCACGGGTCACGGGGTGACCCCGCGCCACGGCTGCCTCTCGCCCTCGCCCCCAGCTCTGGGGGCTCTGGGGGTGCACGCCCCTCCCCCTCCAGACTCCCCGAGGGCTGACCTGTTTTCTGGAACAATCTGCAGCCCTGGGGGGTGGGGAGGGAAAGTCCCTGGCACCTCCAGCACATCTGGAGCTAATCCCAGCCGCCGGGGGCGGGGGCGGGGGCGGGGGCGGATGGAGCTGGAGGGGCCGGAGAGAGGGCTGATGGAGCCGAGGGGCCAGGGTGTCTGAGTGGACGGACATGGGAAGGGGATGAGGCCGCTGCGGGGTGACACGGGGACACCGGGACGGGCAGGGCCGAGCCCCAGCTCAGGAGGGGCTGGGCAGAGCGGGCCTGGGCGGAGGGCCGAGCCAGGGTTGGTTCTGGGCCGCCCACGTAGGTGGGCTGTGCCCCCGCCCGCCTCCCTCCGGGCAGCTCCGGCCAGCCTGGCAGGGAACAGAGGGCTTCTGTCCCCAGGCAGCTTCCTGCTGACCACAGGCCCTGTGCCACGGAGCCCAGCCCAGTCTGCTCTGACCCCGGAAGGGGGGGGCGCTGCCTCTGGGGCTTCTGGGTGGGGCACCCCATCCAGGCCTCTCCCATGCCCCTGAAGTCTGGGGAGCCACTGCCCCAGGCCCTGTCTCTCCAGCACCCCCGGTCAGGCCAGCCTCCCATGTGACTGCAAAGGCCCTGAGTGTCCACCCCAGGGAAGGGCTGCCCACTGGCTCCCCACGGGAGCCCGCCCCGCACCGGCTTCTGAGCTGTGACGTCACTGAGGAAGCAGCCCCCGCGGGCAGGCACCCGGAGGCCTCCCTGCAGGACCCCCCGCTCTGAGAGGCACAGGCGGGCTGACCCCAGCCCCAGCTGAGCAGGGGCGCAGGCCTCAGGGACCCCAGGTCTCTGCCCCTCCGGCCGCTGGCCTGGCGCCCGAGGCCTGTCCCCCACAGCTGCTCCCTGCCGGAGGCGGGGGAACGCCCTCCGCACGCGGCAGGAAGCACTTCCTGGTGGCCACAGGTCAGGAAGTCCAGGTGCCAGCTGCCGGGCGTCTCAGGAGCAGGGGTGCTCGGCCTGGGTCTGCGGGGTGGGGGGGCTCACCCCTGTGCCCATCCCTCGGGGCTCCTCCCCGGTCACCACCTCCCCAAGAGGCCCGGCTGCTGGCGGGGGCAGTGGCACCCAGGCGCCCGCCCGGGCCGCTGTGGGGACGTGTGAGTGCCAGCGTGGGCCACAGCGCACGCGGGGGAACAGGTCCCAGCAAGCCCAGACGCGGAGCGGAACCCGGCTGTGTGCCGCGCAGCTCCGCAGGCTGAGCCCGCACCGGGCAGGGCCCTCTCGCCTCCCCCAGCTCCTGGCCCCGGTGCTGCCTCCTCCCCCGACTGCACGCAGGCACCCAGGAACTCCTGCGACCCGGCGTGCCCATCCGCTGCTGCCAATGAGACAGACGGCCCCACCCCCAGGGGCCGAGCTCCCGTGAGGAGAGAGAGAGAGAGAGAGAGAGAGAGAGAGAGAGAGAGTCTTCCATCCGCTGGTTCACTCCCCAGATGGCTGCAACAGCCAGAGCTGAGCCAGGAGCTTCCTCCAGGTCTCCCACGCGGGTGCAGGGGCCCAAGCACTTGGGCCGTCCTCCACTGCTTCCCCAGGCCACAGCAGAGAGCTGGATCGGAAGAGGAGCAGCCGGGACTGGAACCGGTGCCCACACAGGATGCTGGCACGGCACACGCGGCTTCACCCACCGCGGGCTTCCCCGGCCCCAAGCCACTGCCGCCTGAAATGCTTTGAGTTTTGATTCGCTTAGCTGTGCCCCGAAAGCTGCTCCCGCATTTGGGAGCCAAGGAGACCTGGCACGGTGGCCAGTGCTGGGGACGGGACGCGCACGGACGCCTGTGTGCACGCTCGGGCGTGTGCGCCCGTGCTCGGCTGTGGGCACGCGCACCAGGCCCTGGACCCGCACAGGAGGCTGCTGGCCCTGTGCCCTGCTCCCCAGGAGCTGCCACACCCGGGACACCCCACAGCCACACGCGCCCCAGCGTCTTCTGCCCCCAAGGGCGAGGGGCAGAGGTCACACGGAGGCCCCAGGTGGCCCCACAGGCCCCCGGCACAACCTCGGGGCTGCAGCACGGCTCTGCCTCCTGGCCGGTGCGGCCGGGGCCTCAGTTTCCCTGTCTGCTTCCAGGGCGGACGCCCGTTTCCAGGAGGGGCCTGAGCTGCGGGTGGCCGTTTCCCGGGTCGCGGGACCCAGCCCAGGGCGTCCAGCTCTGTCCCAACTCACCCCAAGAACGTTCGTGGAGTGGACTCAGGGCCCACTCTCCACAGCTCCCGGGATAGGGACACCACCGCTTCCACGCAGGGGCCCCGCTCGGCCGCCGCCCCTCCCTCACAGCGCCCCTGCGCTCCCCGGGCGCCGGCTCGGGAGAGGGGCGGGACCCGGCCCCCGGCCCCCGGCCCCCGGCCCCCGGCCCCCGGCCCCAGGGCCGCACGCACTCACAGCAGGTCAGGCCGGTGGCGGTGCAGGATGGCGCAGAAGGCCAGGCCGTCGCGGAACGACGTGGTCATGTTGGTGATACACACGTCCCGGTAGCCCTCGCACTGCTGCCGGCACCATTGCTGCAGCGCGTGCAGCGCGGCCATGAGGGCGGCGGCGGCCCGGGCCGCTCGCACGGACGCACGGACGCACGGACGCACGGACCGGCCGGCGGCTGAGCTCCAGCCGAGCCGGCCGACGACGGGGAAGCGGCCACCGCCCCCAGCGCGCTCCGACCCGCCGGCCACACCCCCAGACCACGCCCCCACGCCTCGGCACAGGCTCCAGCCCCGCCAGACCACGCCCCGCGCGCAGCCGGGCCCCGCCCCAACACGGTTCCCGCCCTGGAGAGGCCACGCCCCCACAATGCCCGGACCCCTAGCGGGCCACGCCCCCTCAAGGCTCCGACCCCGGGCGGGCCACGCCCCCGCTCGCTGAGCCGCGCCCACCGCCCGCGTCCCGGGACGGGGCCGAGGTGTGGCCGCCCGGCGGCGCCGCCCGCCCGCTCCCTGCCGAGGCCCGGGTTCCGTCTCGCACCATCCGCGCCCCGCTGCCCGGGCAGTGCAAGGAAAGGCGGGCGACGGCCGGGGAAGCCGAGCTCCGACAGACCGCCTCGGGGTCTCCGCGGGGCTTCCCGGCACGGCGGACGCCGGAGGTTCCTGGGCCTCCCGGTTAGCTTCGTTCCCCAGGCTTCCGCTCCGGGCGTCGTTTTTAAATTTTCTTTCTTGAGAAGCGGAGACGGAGAGGGCGCTCCTCCACGCCAGTCACTGCCCAGGCAGAGCCAGGAGCTGGGAGCCCCGCGAGGACCCAGGGACCTGGGCCGTGCCCGCTGCCTCCCGGGGTGCCCGTTAGCGGGGTGCAGCCGGGGCTGGGCCCCCGGCACTGCCATGTGGGGTACGGGCAGGGTCTCCGCCGCTAGTCCAAAGCCCGGTCCCCACGCTAAACATTTGGCACAGCCATCAAGGGTAATGCCCCCACCCCCAGTCTTCTTGGGAACCCTGTGTGTGGCCATCCCCCCCAACTCCCTCCCCCCCGTGGGCTGGACCAACACCAGAAACAGGAGCTGACCCCCACCCCCCACACACACACACAGCCCCCAGGGCGTGTCTAGAAGTTCTGTAAGTGGCCCCCGGGGAGTTGCCTGCTGCCCAGTCCCCAACTGGCCCCAAGGCTCCCCGAGGGGACAAAGGGCAAAGCTGTGCCTGCCCTCAGGGCAGCCGTTGGGAGAACCGGAAAAGCCGGTCTGGAGGGGCGGGGCTGCGTCCTGGAATTGCCTCCCCCCTCAGCCAAGGCCACTAGTGCTTCCTGGGGCACTGAAGAGCCCCCCATCACCCCCAAGGAAGGGGCCGGGATATCCCAGTGCCCCCACCGCTCCCCCTGCCCACTCGGCCCACCCCTGGCCCCCACCCAGCAGCCCAGCCTGGGCTGAGTAGTCCTGCTCCTTACCGGGCTCCCCATGCGTATCACCCGGCCCTGGCCCTGCCTGCGAGCTCGAGCCCACGCGTGCCCCGTGGGCGACCTGTGCGGTCCCCTCCCCCAGGGGTCGCCCAGACACACAGCGGGTACTCAGTAAGCACGGGGGACACGCTCACACCTGAGCCCACAGGTGAGGCACAGCTAAGAGCTACACAGACCCCCAGGGGAGTGGGTGGAGACCCCAGACTCTAGAAAGCTTAGGCACTGGGCCGGCACACTGCCCGGGTTAGCCTGCTGCCTGCAGTGCCGACATCCCCCGTGGGCGCCCATTCCTGTCCAGCCCCTTGCTATGGCCCAAGTGGGAGACCCAGGAGCTCCTGGCTTCAGCCTGCCCTCTGTGGCCATCTGGGGACTGAACCAACTGGGACAAAGGCCCGGCCCCTTGGCTGGACACCTGCAGGAGCTGGCTGAGCAGGGCCGGCCACTCTTAACACAATGCCAGCGGGGCGGAAGTCCACCCCCGGCTCTCGTTTTGCTCGTGGTCCTGACCATGGCCGACCCCACCGCTGCCCTGCAGGTGCTCAGCATGCTGTGGCCCCAGACCCTGGCACCGCTGTTTGCCCCGCGGGGAGGGGCCCCCAGCTCCTCCATTTCTGGTCAACACTGCCGTCCCATGGGGGCCTCTCCTGACCATGCTGTTAAACACCACAGCCACCCCTCCCTCCTTCACTGTCCACCCCCACTCCTAGCAAGTGCCAAGTATACAGCAGGCACTCAGGGACCACCACCTCCCCTAGGGGCCCACAGCAGGTGCTCAGGGACCACCACCCCCCCAGGGGCCCACAGCAGGCGCTCAGGGACCACCACCCCCCTCCAGGGGCCCACAGCAGGTGCTCAGGGACCACCACCTCCCCAGGGGCCCACAGCAGGTGCTCAGGGACCACCACCCCCCCCCAGGGGCCCACAGCAGGCGCTCAGGGACCACCACCCCCCTCCAGGGGCCCACAGCAGGCACTCAGGGATCACGACCCCCCCCCCAGGGGCCCACAGCAAGTGCTCAGGGACCACCACCCCCCCAGGGGCCCACAGGCCTGAGCTCGTGGTGCAGCCACGGCCCCTGCAGGCTGGTGGGCAGCCGTCTAGGGTCTGAGCCCATCAGATGGACAGGGACGGGATGGGGGGGCCCACGTGCTTGTATGAGCAGCTGGGGGGACGGCAGTGGGGGCCCTTCAAGAGAGGGACCCTGCTGGCACCGACACCAGACCTGGGCCTTTGGAGAAGGGGAGACGCCAGGCAGGTGCAGGTGAGACCCCAGGGAGGAGCTGCTGCCCACTGGTCGCGCCCTGCAGGCCCCCGCCGGCTCCCCACAGCAGAGGGGCCGTGACCCCCAAGGCCATGGCCCAGAGTAACAGCGCCGTCCTGGTCGGGCGGCAGTCGGCACCCGGCACCCCCCCATTATTAATGGCGTTCCTGAACTGTAGCAGCCGACGTCGCACACAATGCGCTATAAATATTTGATCCCGCATCCGCAGCCCGCCATCCATCATTTATAACGGCTTACAGAAACATTATAAAACATTTACCGCGCGTTTATAGATCATTTTCGGCTACGACGACGATGTGTTATAAATGCATTATTAATCCTCACAGCATTTGTAGGGGCCTCTTGTCGGGGGGCCCGGCCTGCCCGAGGCGGGGTGCCCTTGGCCAGCGGTGGCAGGCCACGTGCACCCTGTGCGGGTGCTGGCCGCCGTGGGGGCTCAGGGACCAGAGGCCACCTGCCCAGCGGCTGCGGTGGCCACACGCCGTGGCCCTGGGCTCCTGGGACCTGGGACAAAGAGGCCGGGTTGGGAGGTGTTGGTCCCGGGGCCAGCAGCAAGCCAGGGGAGCGGACGGCGGCCTGCCCAGGGTCAGCTCCCCTTCCCAGGGAGGGGCGGCTCCTCCCCAACTCCCCCTCCGCTCAGGGCCTGGTTCCCTTCCTGGACCAGCACCCACGGAGCCCCGTGTTCCCCACCGCCCCTCAGGTTCCATTTCTGACCACCGGCTGAGGCCCCCGCAGGGAGCAGAGGCCCAGGCACCTGGGGGGACCCCAGCGCACCTGGCAGGGCCACTCTCCCAGGAAGCCAGGGAGGGGAGCATAGGGCCAGGACCCCCTGGGCAGCTCCAGCCCCCAAGGTGTAAAGTTCAGGGTGCTCCCTGCCCGAAAGTGAAAGCCAGGCGGCAACTCCGAGGCCGGGTGGAAGCAGGGCCCCCTGCCCCGTGCAGACACTCGCCCACCCCGGGGCCTGGCCTTCCAGCCTCCCTGGCCTCTGCACTTCTCAGGCCTAGAGCACGACCCTGACCCTGACCCGACCCCGGGAACACGGCTCCGCTCACGGCCCTGCCACTGGGATCCTCAGTCCGACATGGTCTGCTCAGGCCGTCCCTTGCAGGGCTGAACACGTGGTTAGCCACAGCCACCTCGTGGGCGCTGGAGCAAAACCGCCAGGTCCCCAGCCCAACAGCAGCGCTTGGCCACACCCCCCACCTGCCTGCCTCAGAGAGAGCAGGTGTGTGTGAGCCAGGCCGTGCCTGGGGACGGGGGCCCACACCCAGGCCAGTGGGCCAGGGGCTGCCTGAGGCAGGTGCTCAGAGCCAAGGCAGGGGAGGCTCAAGAATGCAGCTCACCCCCGGCCTCACCTGACTGGAAGATGCCCCCACCCTGCCCTGCCCTGCCCCCAGGGGGACGCCTTCATGGAGCAGCGGCCAGGTCCAGAGCCTCTGACGGGGCCTCCTCTGAGCCACGCTCTGGTCTGGGGGTCAGACAGGGCACAGGGCAGAGACACGGGGGGGCAGGCAGGGGCCCCAGGCCCAGCCACGCGCTGCTGTGCCCGCAGAGCCGGGCGGCACAGGGCAGCGGGTGCTCGGCTCCTGCCCGCTGCCTCCCCACGGGCAGGGCCATCTCCCCACGCGGGCCGCAGCTCGCAGCACACTGCCCCAGGCCCCGGTGGGCCCGGCGGAGATGGTGGTGGCCAAGGCGAGTACACTCGCTTCCCAGCCCCACTGCCCTGTGCAGGCCCTCCCAGGAGGAGCGCCCCACGGGTGAACCACAGAGGGCCGTGTGGTGCCGAGGACCCAGGCAGCCAGGCCATGATGGCAAGGGGACCGCAGACCTGGGCCCCAGCCCGCCCTCCCTTACCACCAAGCCCCACGGTCCCACCCTGCCCATTCCTAAGGGGGGGCACCACCCAATCCACGGGCGGCTCTGGATCTGGGGGGCCCCCAGGAGTGCAGGGTGTGCAGGTGCCCAGGCTCAGGGCAGGAGCCGCCCGTGCTGGGCCGCCCCGGGAATCCCTGCCCTCCCTGGGCCGTGTGTGTGCAACCCACGAGCAGCCCCACAGCCCCGCAACGTGGGGTGCCAGGGCCAGAAAAGCCGAGGGCAGGCACACCTGGTAAGGGACAGGCAGCTCCGTGCAGGGGTGGGGGCTGTGCCGGTACCCCTGTCCCTGCAGGACCCCGGGGGGCCAGCTGAGAGGAAACCACTCAGCCATGGTTCCTACCCCTCCCTCCTCGACCCAGGCCCTCCCAGAGCGGCCTGTTGTCCCCTGGGAGCCAGCACAGGCATGGACGCCTGGCCCTGGCACGTGCAGGGAGAGTGGACAGGTGAGCCGAGCAGGTCCGAGGTCCTCAGGAGATGTGAGCAGCTGAGCTCAAAGGCCAGGCTGGGGTGCGGCCTGCTGCCTGCCCTGCCCCCTGTAGGGCCCCAGGATGGCTCCTGGGCAGGCACCCCCCAGGGGCTCCTCTGGCTGAGTGCCCTCCCGCGGGGCCTGGGAAGGGTGTCAGTCTTCAAG